TCCAGAAAACCTATGTGTGCGTTGTCTGAATAAAAAAAACTAAAATTCTTAGTGGGTTTGAAATACCGTTTCATTTGAGATTGTGGAATTTAAATTTAATTTCAATTCATGGGATGAACTTTGACAGGTTGAAGTTCATGGGAAGTCCCACAATGCAGCTGTCTTACTCTTGTTCTCTTCAATCTATATATTATCAAATTGCATCAATTTCTGGATGGCAGTATACATATTTTTCAACGTGTCGATGATTTACTATTGATTTCTGCTGGTAAATTTTTTAAAGAAGCAACTGAAAACCTTGCTACTAAAGCTAATCTACTTTTGGTGGTTGCGGGAATTTTTGACTCAGCTTCAACCCAACAAAAGATTCGAGTAAGATTAACCAAAATACTTCTTTTAAGTTTCTTGGGGGATAGTCAGCAAATATAGCGGTCCAAGAACACTACTTCGAATTTTTTAATGACTGTCAGTCTGTGTCAAACATAGTCAATCTGATGACTTGTTTTCGCGTGGAGCTTTTCCCAAGAAAAACACTCACAATTTAGAAATAATTATACGCTCAAAAATAGAATTTTTCCTCTCCATCACTTATAACCTTCGTGACTGTGATAAACAAAAGAATGCAGACTTTTCCAAACAAACTGCTAAGACGATGCGAAGGGCTTTCCACCTCGAGACCGGTTCACATTCTTAGAATCATATCAGATGAATTGCCGATCACTGAGAGATTTACTTCTTGCAGCTAAAGAAATTCTGAAAGTCAAAATCTTTAGACAGCCTTTTTTCCGGATGATAATCTTCAGGGCATGTGGAGCTAACAGCAACTATATAAGTTGATGTTTAAAATTTTATCGTACTTTCGACAAAGTCAACTTTGTCGGAGCTCTTTACAAAATATATACAAAATAGATTTTAATCTTTTTGTATCAGGGCGCTAGACCACGATGTATAAACATATGATTTTCAAACTCATATTGACTTAGAAAGTTTTTTTGCCAGTGAACGCAAAACGAAAGTGGATATCGTCATAACTGGTCTCTATTATTAACATTATCTTTCTCATCATCGAAATCATAACCTGTTGTCAGCTGCAGTTCGTGAAGGTTGATCTTCTTCTCGTTATTAAGATCAACATCCCCAAAGTCTTCGAATAACGTATCATTACCAAAATCAAGTCCGTTCGTTTGATTAACTGTTTGTTGATTGTTGACACTGTGTTCGGCAACCTTTGAAACATGAGCAGGCTGTTTGACCGACGTAGCAACAAACGAGACTTGATCAGTGGTGTGTATCGTCGCCATGTCGTTTGAAGTAGTTTCGGAACTTGACTCGCCTTATACTATTTCCTTGCAATCAGCTGCAAGTGTGCAAATTACTATTTTAAAATTTTTGAAAATGTGGCATATGTTTCTTACGCGAGATATCTTTGGGGCAGTTAAACTTGGTTGTGGGAAGTCTTTTTGCAGTGTTTTGTACAATTAACGTAAATTGTATCGGAGCGTTCATTAATGAATCAACTAAGTAAACAATAAGGCGAAACGATCTTGTTATTGCATACATAGATGCCATCTGTCTGCCTACCTATTTTGGGTGTTACATGAATTTCATTGGCATGTATTGAATGATTTTCAAAGTAATGGTGTTTAAATTGCAACTTGCTAGAACTTTTAACTACGCAGAAGTCGTGTCGGTTCGTTTCTTCTCTGTTTCTGTTGGATTGGCGAACTTCTTTGAATTGCTTATTTTTCGGTTGTAATTGGGGGCTCGTTGGCTGAATATTATGTCTGCTCCTATAATGTTGATGTAAATCTTCTTTAAAAAAAGTGTAAAACGTGCAATTATCACAAAAAAAATGTGGAAGTTCTGAAAATAAGAAAAATTGTGATTTAAAAGCCTTCTTGCATTTATAATTAAATACCGTTGTGTGATAACATATGGGCCTTTAACTCGCGTTGAGTGCTAAAACTTTTAATGCAAGTCTTGCATTTAATATTGTTTACCATTTTGTGGTCTGCATTTGCAACGTATTTACCACCCGTCGCTGAATATTCTGTATCACCTAAGGAGAATACTTGTAATTAAAAATCTTCTTTTGAATTTAATTCGCGATTCAGAGTTCTCTCACCCAACATTTCTTCTGAGCTATTAACGCTCTCTTCTACAATCAAATCATCCACATCCATTTGTGCAACATCGTTTTGTGCTAGTTGCAACGACATTGGTTTATTCAATTTTACTTTATTCTCTAATATCGAATCGCAATTCGACGACGCCGCCTGATCTATATATTCAAAAATAATGCAATGTGGTTTTATGTTCTGTTAAAATATAACTCACCGCCTAAATTTTCTTGTTTTAAAGGGCCATTTTCAGTCAACATTTTCTTATTAAGACATCTGTGAACTTCATTCGTACTTATGCTTGCGAGCATGGGTTTACTGGCCGTAGTGCTGTGTCGTTCAGTATTTTCGTTTATTTGCGGATTATCGTGGACACAGCGCTGCTTTTGTATTTCAAGTGAGGATAAGGGTTTTGGTTTTAGTTGTTCTGCAGAAGCTGTTAGGTTATGTGCTAGTAGGTAGTGCTCACTCAAACAAAGACGTCCCCGACTTTCGTGGGGACATAATTGACATTTGTATACAATAAGATCTGTTCATTGATTCATATTAAACAATGCTTTTTAATTTTTTGAGCGAGCTTACCTAAATGTAACTTGACATGCTTTTTCAGCGATATTCTTCCCTTCAGTTTTACGTCGCACACTTTGCAACGAAACTGCTTTTCTTTCTTGCTTTCGACCGATGGACACTGAAAAGGAGTATTGTTAAAAAACCAAACATAAATTTTTTTTGGTGTGTTGAATGGAGATGGACTAAGCCAATAGATAACCAAACATAACTTAGATTCTTATGTACTCATATTCACCTGCTGATTTTCACCCCCTTGCTTTCGCTGCCTAATGTACTTCATTTTCCTCATTCCTTGTAGTTTTCTTTTAAGAATTTCTTGAGCTCGGAACGCATTTTTCATAAACGCATAAACTATTTTAAGAGTCGAGCTACAATTCCCACAGATGGCTGCCGGCATGCCTGGTGCATTAGTGAAATGCATGCAGTAGATTAAGCAATCCATATGTGTCACCCCTTTCTTTTCCTCTAAGTTCGTTTTCTGAATTGGATCATTTAAATCGACTAGTTTGACATCGCCACCTACAGCTAAACATGTCCTACATAACAATGTGTTGTCCACAATCTTCCTCATATCCATACGCTTAGTAAAAATGTTTTTCAAGCTGACTTGGGTTGTCTGACAATTCTCCATAGTAAATTAGCGTAAAAAGTATTTGCTTAAACGTGCTAAACTGCTTTGCTTATTAAACCAGGAGATGGCTTGAAACACGTTCATTACAACTCTTCTTCTTTCATTATTCAGCAAATTAACAGCTGAAAATTCTGTAGGATTTGTAAAAAATCCCCAATGTGAACACAGAGTAGTATAAAAAGTAGTATAAAAAGTTACATAAAGAAATTAATGGGTGTGAGAGCAAGAAAGTGTAAAAGAGAGTAGGTTCATAAATTGGCTGCAAACCGTTATATGGCTTGATGGCTTTAAGCTGTTAACAGTTTGGAAAATTTCAATTTAAGTTTTTCTTATTTTTAAACACAAGTATTTAGTTGCGTTACGGTTTATTCTCAATTTATAAACACATCCATTTAGTTGCGTTACAGTTTATTCCAAATTTATAAACACATCCATTTAGTTGCGTTTCGCTTTATTCTCAATTTACAAACACAACTATTTAGTTGCGTTTCGGTTTATTCTCAATTTATAATTACTTTCGATATTGAAAAATGATTGTGAACTTTTTAACCTAAAATCTATGAAAATCGTATGATTTCAATGAAATTACACTGGTTGCATAATAAGGAAAGTATACAGTTATGGCAAGAAAACTATTCGTGGTCTTATTATTTCGGCTTCGAGTGGGTAAACTTCTTAAAACTCGCCACGTTTAACGATCATGCTATGACGGTAGTGTTCGCTTACATATGTCGACTCCCGCTTAAGGACTTTTTCGGTCCGGTTTTTTCTTTTAATTTATGAAGGCTTAAGAATACTCAAGCCACAAAAATTATACATTGGCTTTACAACACATATATGTCTAATAGATAATAAAAAATGTCTAACACTGAACTCTTTTCCTTCGCCATGAATTCGTTTAATAATTTAGGGGGAAGCTTTTGAAAACTTCTTTGTTCTTTATTGAGATCTGCCCTTAAATAGTCACAAATAATATAGAAAGACGATCGTGACCATAATAAAATTTTCAGTTATGCTCTCTAGTGTGCTCATTAGAGCTTTAAGTATTTGCTGATCTCGCTCTCGCTTGCACGTTATAATTTATTATTTATATTGCATGATGGCTTCCTCGTCTGATTCATTGATACAAGTTAGCGTTTCCTCAAAGTCTACAAGGAACGTTAGCGTTTCTTCTAAATAAAATGGGGTACACCGACGCGTTTTGGTCTAAGGACAAAGGCTACCAGAAATAATTGCGATCGGTACCACATTTTGCTTCCCGTAAAATGTTTTATATTAAAAGGTTGTTATATAGACAACTGTACTCAGCAAATTGTAATGGAAACATATAAAGAAATATACTTTTTATAACTTCTTTCTATCTTCTTCTGAAAATATTGTCTATTGCTTTGTTCTGTCAAGCACTTCAAGTAAAGCTAAACTGTTGTTGCTTAATAATGTTGCTAAACTCTTGTTGTTTAATAATTTTATTATCAGAATCACTTTCTGAATCGATCTAAGCTTGTCTGTCTGTCTTTCCGATTGTTATTCGATTTTATGCGACTTGCAGATCGCAATTTTTTAGATGTTTTGATGAAAGTTAATACACCCCGAATTGTGTTGGTACAAAGACGAACGCTATTAAAAATAGTTCGAATCGGATCACGTTTTCCACCACTTCTCATAAAACAGCTTATTTTGAAAAGAAGTTACATGGACTGCATTAAACGAAGTGGTGGGTTATTGAACGACGGGCCGTGTTCCACTATAGTAGTTTTAGTTGTTTTTAAAGAATTCCATCGAATTTATTAACGATCAAAGCAAGGATATGATCAGGAGATTGTAAGATGGTGCATAAAGGGTTGTTGTCATTACATTTCGTGTGATTGAGCATCAGCTTGTTAATAGGACTAATAATTTGAGTGAGCAATTCATAAACCAAGGGGTTTTAGTTGTTTGTGGAAATAAGGAGTGTCAACGACGATCGTAATGTGAGTTATCCTATCGCTGTTGCCAAAAAAGAATTAAATGCTCCTTGTCGATTGTCCTGAGATCTTCAGGAGTTTCATCATGATCATTAAAATTAGATGGTGCAATTTTATCTGAAGTATTGTTGCCATGTGACTGGGCATCCAGAGAAAGTGAAAAGAATATGTGTGAGACTATGTGTAGATTCAAAGAGAGAAGGGCAGATTTTAAAATGTTTATATTGACAGAATCAAACGCTGAGGTTATATTCAGAAAGCAATGAGAATGTGTTTCTTAGCAAACGCTGAATTTATTGCTGATCAAAAATGATAATGTTGTTTTGGGTAGATCTTTAATGTGTAAAACCAAATTGAAGATTGATGAGGATCCGTTTGGACTCGAGATACCATTCTAGTTGTAAGTACAACACTTTCTCGAAAATTTTGCTTAGGAGGGAAACTAAGGCAATTCATCTGTTGGAACTAAGACTAGCTGGCGAGTTATTCTTTTCTTCTTCTTCTTCTTTTCTTTTTTCGTAGCGTGAAAATTGGGAAGTCATACCAGCCAGAGGGTATATAGTAATTAAGGATATTGTTAAATTCTTTTAGTAAGATTAAACTGTTTTCAGTATTCAAAATTTTGAGGTGATTGTTAGGAATACCATCTAAGCCCAGAGCCGAGTTTTTTGAGAGATTAATGGCTTTATCGAGCTCAGAGAGAGATATGTCAGTTAAGAAAAAATTCCTCATCGTCCACCATCAGTTCCTCATCGAGTGAAGCAGAGGGCATGACAGGACCAGAAGGTGCGGCAAGATTGTCACAGAGTTGTGTGGGTATGGCGCAGCGAGAGGAAGTGATACCACTAAAAATTCTCACAGTAAATCTGAAATTGACATATCGCCATTGACATTTCCACAAAATTGTTTCCAAACTTTACGTTTTTCCAGCCTGAGAGTATAAATATATTTTTTTCTAAAAATTTGAAATTATTTTAGACGGAGATCTTCTGCATTTATTTATACCGGAATTAAGTTTGGCAGTGACACGATTGCAAACAGTGTTTCACCTAAGATTAGGAGAGTGGGATTTTTTAGAAGATTTCAGATGCTCAGAGCATTAATGGGAGGCTTTGGGAATCTATCAAAGAAACAACCCGAAGAGTCCGGATGGTATTTGAAATATTACGGATAGTATTGTTAAATGAAGAAGTTTTGATGTGAGTGGAAGCGGATAATAGGACGCAAATGAAAACCAATTTCGAGTAGACAGTGAGAATTAGTCAAGGTGCCGTTAAGGATCCTCCAGAGAACTTAGATTAGGTGCACAGATCGAAAGATCTATGGAAGAAGAGACGGAACCAAAATGAGTAGGATCATCGTTATTTACTAAGACTAAACTGTTGTTTTCAAAAAAATCTTGAATTTGTCTGCTAATTGAATTGGAGAAGCGATTACCCAACTAATATCGTAAGCATTAAAATCACCACATATTAATGCAGATACGTTAGATGTGAAAGAAAATAGTCTATTAATTACAGATCCAGAAACATTACAATTAGGTGGAATATAACAACTAATGATCACGAGTTCCCAAAAGGAAGTGTGAATCGTGTAACTGCAAGCTTTGATAAGTACACAATTTGCAAAATTAGAAGTGTAAGAGAAACAAGGCTTATTAGATATAAGGATCACAACCACCATGAGAGGAGTTGAAGAGACGATTAAATCCAACCACGTTGAAATTCTTAATAGAAAAACAATCATGAGGTTTAAGAAAAGTTCCAGAAAGACGGGCTACGGAGATGTCGTTATAATGAATGTATTGTTCAAGCTGTTTTAGTTTGTTACGGATGCTAGTGCAATTAGCTATTTTCAGTATTGATTGGGAGAGAATAGGGGTACGAACCCAAAGGTGTTGTTGGTTTAGAACAGTCATGTGAAGGTCGCGAGATAGGCGTGTGGCGGATTGAACGGTAGCATTTGACTTACAGCTTTATATTATGTAATTTTTGAGTACGATCAGAGATTTGAGATAAATTAGAGGAAGTACGACAATCAGTGATTATTTCGTGATCGGAAGGAATATTGTCCGTGATGGTCGTCACAGTCTCGGGATTAGAAGATTTATATTGGAAGGGAGATGATTATTTCAAGACTTATTATCTTTTTGATTGATGCTGAGACAGTAGACTAAATGTTTGGTCGTTTGATTGTTGATTGAGAAGTGGGAAATTTTCTAGAGAAAATGAAAAGCTATTATTTGCGAAACCTCGAGCATTTCGAAAAAAGGTGTATATTTGCGGCTTCAAACGATCTTCTTCTCCATCTTTTTTGGATGTAGTAATTTTTTTATAGGAACGACAAATTGTCGAGTTAGACGAATGATCACCATTATAACTGATACATTTTTTATTTTGAGGACGGCGGCTTTCGCCAACATTTGCGGCATTGTAATCAGCTACAATCTCTCAGAACTACATAAAATGGTAAGGTAATAAGCAGTAATGGATACATTGCGAATGCTATCCTTAGAACTTAAATAGTCAAATAGCCACTAAAAAACTGATGTACGACAAAGCAGAAAAACATAATAAAATAATTACAGCAAGGGAAAACCTAAGGAAAAATGAACATTTCGCATAAAGATATTATTCGAACAGGATTGCTTTCCTGACCGGCAGTTGTAATTTAATTGTTTATAAGCTATATAATAATCACGCACCACAGAAAAGTCCTTTTAGAGCAAAGCGAATAATTCAAAATTAAAAGCACACCTAAAAACACGTTGGTATTGACTGCTCAACGTCAACTTAAGTGCTCCACATAATGTTTGCGTTATGCGTTACTTCGATCTTCCTTTTGTATTCTTTTTATAAATAAAAACGATAGTGCGTAGAATAAGGGATAAGTATAAGGCAATGATTGCAGGGTGCAGCCGTCGTGGATACGGTGATTATAGTGATATGCTTACATGCTTATAACTGACATAGCTGCCCGTTTTTTGGCTCCATTAGCAAATGTAAAACAAAACACAGATTTTGATTGATTGACATGAACCCTTTAACTTTTTCTACAAGATACTTGCACATTATAAAAATAAATTTCGCGCTATAGATATATATAAAGTAA